TAAGTTGATCAAAAGAATTGTCCTAGCCAGAGAAATCAGACAGATGAAAGAAACTAAAGGGATACGGATAGGAAAAGAAGAACTCAAATTATCACTATTTACAGACAATATGATTCTATTGACCCAAAACATTCCACCAGAAATATCCTAGAACTAATAAATGAATTCAGCAAAGTAGCTGGATATAAAATCAACACCCATATATCAAAGGCATTTCTGTACATCAGTGACAAAACCTTAGAGAAACGGTGAAAGACCTCTACAATGAAAACTACAGAATGCTAAATAAAAAAATTAAAGGAGACCTTAGAACATGAAAAGATCTACCTGGTTCTTGGATAGGCAGAATTAATATTGTCAAAATGACCATACTACCAAAAGCATTATACAGATTTAATGCAATTCCCATCAAAATCACAATGACATTTCTCATAGAAATAGAAAAAACAATCATGAAATTCATCTGAAAATATGAGAGACCCAGAATAGCCAAAGCAATCCTTAGCAAGAAGAGTGAAGCAGGTGGCATCACTATTCCAGACCTTAAACTATACTACAGAGCAATAGTGACAAAACAGCATGGTATTGTCAACCTGGTCCATTCATAATCAATTTTCCTATCTGCTTTTATGGTCTAGGAATTTGATTATTAAAGGCTGAAAAATAATGATACTCTGTTTCTGCCATTTTTTTCATTTTTTTAGCTAGAATTCTCTCAGGGCTATTTGGTTATCCTAAGATATGGCTGTCACAGGAAAGTTTGATACAAGACAGAAAAATGCTGGCTTCTTTCCCTTTACTTAGTACTTCTCAGACTAATGAACAGGTGCCCTGCTATCTTCCAAAAGTGAATGAATTTTTCTCCAAAATTTACAAATCTTTGTATTAAAATTATTTATCTTAAAATTTATTGTGCAGTATTGGGGGTTGAACCCAGGGGTCTCACATGTGTTAGGTGAGCACTCTCTACTATAAATCCTTATTTTTAAGAAAATGTTTTATTGGGCTGGGGATGTGGCTCAAGTGGTAGCATGCTTGCCTGGCATTCGTGCGGCCCGGGTTCGATCCTTAGCATCACATACAAACAAAGATGTTGTGTCTGCCGAGAACTAAAAAATAAATATTTAGATGTTGTGTCTGCCGAGAACTAAAAAATAAATATTAAAAAATTCTCTCTCTCTCTCTTTAAAAAAAAAGAAAGAAAATTTTTTATTATGCTGGGTGTGGTGGTACACATCTGCAATCCCAGTGACTTGGGAGGCTGAGGCAGAAGGATCATGCTGAGGGCCATTACCAAGTAGGTATGACGCATCGTAATCCTTGCCAGTGTACCCCATGTTAAATGGACTTGCCTTGGAAATTTGCT